GCCGGTTAGGCGGTCCTCCTGGAAGCTCGTCCAGGAACACGTCTACAAACTCACGAACAACTGGAACATCGTGAGGTGATCGTGCTTTCTGATATTCGTCGACAAGGCTCACCAGATAACCCTGGCAGTTGCCTCGTCGCAGCAACTTAGTGGCTTTCGCCATCGAACAACATGAGGCAATGAACGATTCCTGCTGCCAAAGAAGGTAATCGAATCGTCTCCCAGAAGATAAAGAGTAATCTCCCGGTCGTGACATCTGATATCTGCATGATAAAAGGATAGCCAATCAATTCCGAGAATAAGGTCGAAGTCCCTCATCTCGAGAACAAACGCGTCGGTAGACAATACTCGGCCACCGATTGAAAGGCTAAGATCTGAAGCTTTATCTGAAGTCACTATCTTTCGTCCCGAGGCCAAACTCACCTCGAGAGGATCGATAGCGGTAGTAGCGTGAACTCCGATGGCATCAAGACATCGTCGTGAAATGAAAGAATGTGTCGCTCCAGTATCAAACAAAGCAAACACAGGAACATTATTAAGCACAACCATCCCTGACATGGTACTTGGCTGCTGCTCGGCCTCTGCCTGATCAACTGCATAGACTCGGGCCTGTTGTCTGCCCCTCTGTTGCTGCTGCTGAGGCGGCCTCTGTGCCTGCTGACGTGGCTGCTGCTGCTGCGGTGGCTGCTGAGGCTGCTGAGGCTGCTGCGCCTTCTTCGGACAACGATTCGTGAAGTGTCTGGGCTCAAGACAGTCGTAGCATACATCCTGACCAAAGCGACACTCGCCTCGGTGAATTCTTCTGCATGTCGGCACTGTGGGATCTGCTGTAGCCTCCGCCGGGTCCTCTTATCCACCGGGGCACCTTTCCCCTTCCTCTTGTTGTTCTTCGGTGGCTGGGCAGCTGGTAGAGCTGGCATTGGTGGAACTGAAGATGACTGAGCAGGGGCGGATGGCTGAGGATGATCACGGACGGCCTCCCTCCTGATGCTGGCGTCCACCTCCTGGGCAATGGAAACTGCACGAGCGTACGTCTGAGTCCCGTGACCTACAATATTATGACGGACTGCTGGGTAAAGTCCGTCAATGAAGCGCTGTGCTCTCTGGGCCTCCGTGCGAACCAAGTCAGGAACAAAAGCTGCAAGTCTGGTGAACTCTCTTTCGTACTCGTCTACAGACCGAGTACCCTATTTGAGCGACAGAAACTGACGCTCCATCTCTGCTCTGTAATAGGTGGGGTAGTACTTCTCGCGGATCAGCTCCTTGAGCATATCCCATGTACATCCCGCTTTCTCGCCAGGACGCATGCTCCAGTAGGCATTCCACCAGAGCCGGGCATCACCGGTTAGCTGAAGCTGAGCGCAAATTACGCGATATCTGTCTGGACAATCCATGACCTCGAAAATAAACTCAAGGCCCTGAATCCACTCGTCTACGATACGGGGGTCTCCCTGCCCAGAAAATTTCTCAGGGTGATAGTCGCGAAACTGTGCGACCACAGTGGCCTGAGGAAGAACTGGGTGATCGGGTTCCCTACGGGGCGGCATCTGAACACATGAAAAATATTCTAATTGATTTCTAAAGTACACAGATCTCTTGACAAGTTGCCAAAAATGGCTGGAAATACTGATATAGATCCTGAAAACGTCTAGAGTTATATCTGAGTACACTGAGTTCTAAAGTCTGATCCTGATTCGAGCATCTTAACTAAGTCCTGATTGATAATTTCTGAGCATAGACAATAGTAATATGTTTATAATTGAAAACATAAATCAACACTTACCTGTAGTCGGCGAGGAGTGAGGGTGACGGTTCAGGTTTTTCTAAAAATATCTGACTTATAAAACTTTTCAGAGACGCAGAAACGTGCTCTGATACCAATTGTAACACCCCGCTATTTAATAATATCAGAGTACGCGTTTTTCGCAAAATTCTAAATAATTAATAAAATATTTATTTTGCGAAAACTGATTCGGAGTGCTACCGTGAAAATCTGACTGAAAAACTGTTAATTTTAAACTGATAATAAAAACGGTTATATAATATTTTAACCGACTAGTGTCGGACCAAAAACTGAGTTTAAGTACTGTTAGCGGAAATGTAGCGTGACCAAAACATAGTTTATACATAACAAAAATGTTGGGTTCTATTAAGAACGTCGACAATGTGCACATTCAAATCTATTGAATAATAAATCCTAACGCAGCAGAATCTATAGTTAGGATTAGGACTTACGGTTTAAAATTTT